CCTGGGTTCAAGTAATTACTGTGCCTCAGCCTCCCTAGTAGCTGGAATTACAGGCCTGTGCCACTGCACCAGCTAATTTCTGTGTTTTTAGTAGGGCTGTGATCCCTGTGTGTCTCTGGGCCATCAGGCTCTTCCCCTCTCTAAACCTCGGTGTTCCCCTTCTAGAGAATGGGCAGAATTTTCTTCAGACAATACTTGCTCATGTGTTGGGGCCACAGAGAGGAACGGGGCATAGAGTTTCAGCAAGGAGCTGGACATAGGCGAGAAGCAGTCAAGATCAGAGGGACAAGAGGGTCCCGTCACCTCCCCGATTTCCCAGGACCTCACTGAGTCCTCACATGCATGACAAGATCTGTCCCACCAAGTCACAGGCAAAACCCCTCAGCTCTGCCCCAGTGCAGGGCTGCAAGTAACCCATATCTCCTCTTGAGGCCTCCTGATAGGATGACTTCTGCAAGCTCATGCCATCCTAACACGGAGAGCTGTTCCACACCCAAGTTGAGAGAGCACTGGGTGAAATCAGTCCCAGGTACGCACAGCCTGGAGCTGCTCTCCAAGGACCCCTCAGCCACAGAAGGCACTGGTCCTCCTACAGTGCTGCCCCACCCCCAACACCGCAGCCTCCTGGGAGTGTGGTCGGGGTGCCCTCCTTCGGGCTCTGCCCTCGCACCCACTCCTACACAGCTACTCTCCCTGCCGGCTGCCCCAGACACCAGATTGGTTTGGGCCTCTGCCTCCACAGGCCCAAACTACCATCTCTTCTGCTCCCCAGAAGCTGTTCCCAGCAGACAGGCCATGTTCCCTCTTCATTCCTCAACACAGAGGGCCCATCACAACACCCTCAGCAGACAGTAGAGCTCCCCACGCATCCTCTTAAAGAGGCTTCACCATTGATGGCCACAAGCCCCACCATGACCTCCTCCCAGGGGGTGAATTTTCTTACATGTCTCCCACCACAGCAGTGACAAAATAAATCATAAAAGCAGCATCTGTTAAATTGTCAGCAACATTTCCTACTAGGATCAACTCTCGGAGTGAGCAGCATATTCCATTAGATGGATCAGTGTAGGGGTTAGCAAGCGTTTTCTGTAAAGGGCCAGATGGAAACTCTTTAAGGCTCTGCAGGCCACTGAGTCTCCATCACCACATACTCAAACCCTCCCCTGTAGCAAGAAAGCAGCCCTAGACAACATTTCAGCAAATGAGCATGGCCACGTTCCCAGAAACCTTTCTTTATGGATGTGGAAGTTTGCATGTCATGTACTTCTCATGTGTCACAAGATAAGATTCTACTTTCCATGTTTTCAACCATTTAAACATGTAAAAGCCATTCTTAGCTCATGGGTCACACAAAAACAGGCAGCAAGAAATCTCATTTTTAGACCAGCAGCAGCTGACCCCTGGATGGAGCATTAGAGTTTGGGTGCGCGTCCCACCCCACGGCTTCCAGGAGAGGGAGTGCAGGCTGATGCCACCTCCATCCCCATCTCTCTAGGGGAGAAGGCGGAGCTGGTGGTGTATGAAGTTTGGCTGCAGATCCTGGGCCAGCACTACACTATGGCCTTGGAGGACAAAACCAGCCCTGACTTCTGGGCACTTCAGGGGCAGCTGACGAGATGGTTGAAGTGGCGGGATGAAGTAGGGAGGTCAGGGAAGAGGCCTTGGAAAGATGGGGGATGACTGGACAAGACTTTGTTAGAGCTGTGACCCTCTTCATCCTCTCCTGATCCCCCAGCTGACCCTTGTCCTCAGACCTCTACAAAACTTTGACCAAGTGGTGGTGGAGGAATCTGGTGGGTTCAGGGTGGCCCTGGGTGGCCCAGGGCTCAGACCTGGGTTCTGGGGTTGAGGGCAGGAGGCTGGAAGAGATGACCTCCCTTAGTCCCCTCAGGCTGCCCAGCCCCCTGAAGTGGGATGATCCTCCCACCAGGCTGGATCCACTGACCACGAGAGTGGGTGCCACCTTCTTCAGGGCGGTGCCAGCCCAGGCTCTCATGTGGGACTGTGTGCGCCAGGGTCTGCACATCCTGGGGGATGCAGAGGGCCTCTTGGTAGAGATGGTCATCCCAGAGCTCAGTCAGTACCTCCTTCCCTCTGTAGGCCCCCTCCATCTGTCCACCTGCCTCCTCCCTTGGGCTCACTGCCTCTGCATGCCCTGATCTGAAACCTGCCTCCCCTCCTCATGGAGCCCGTGCAGATGCTCCTAGCCCCAGCTCTCTGGTCCCACAGCAACTTCTGGGCCCAGATTCTGCCTTTTCAGAAGTCTGGGAGGCAGGGCCCCCGCCTGGCCATAGCCTTCTTGGTCTGCTCTAGGCACTCCTAGCCCTGAAGCTGGTATTTTAAAAAGTGATTTCTGGATATTTAGAAAGTCATCCGGTGTGAGGAGCTGGGAGGGTCCAAGGATAGAGCCCACAAGAGGAGGAAGATTGAAAAGGGGTCAGAGTGGGAGTGGGGGCTGTTGAGGGCAAGGCCCACCCCCAACCCTGACCCCCAAACCCAGCCACAATGCCAGTCAGCCTCAGGCCAGAGGGTGTGAGCAACGGGGGCCCTGGCTGCTCTACAGTGGATCAGAGCCACTGGGTGTGGGGGGTCTTCCAGGGCAGGTGTGGGGATGCCCGGGCAAGGTAAGGCAGGCTCCCAGGGCAGAGACTGAGGCTGACCCCTGCAGCCCCCGTACTGCAGCGGGGGAACACAGGGATAGGCAAGGGTCTTAACCTAGAAAGCCCCAGCAGCTCCTGTGCCCATCAGGACACCGTTGAGGCTTGGTGGTGGTGGAACCCAGGAATGGTGTGTTTGAACCCACGATCTGGAAGGGGAAGCCAAGGACAGTCCTGGCCCATAGGCTCCCCTATCTGCAGGCAGTGGGCAGGCCCAGTGAGGGGACCCCAAGAGCCTAGACCATGAGCTTACCTGGCCAAAGACGGCAACCAGCACCAAGACATCAAAGAGGGCGGGTAGAAAGGTCATCACATCGGGGTTGACTGCAGTCAGCACCAGGTTCCTCTGTACTTTTGGAACACACAGGCCTCTCCTTCCTATCCCTGAAGTGCCCCTGCCCCCACCCCAGCACCCCGAAGACCAGCCTAACAGATCCACTTGTCCTGGGTCAGCCCTGCTGTCCAAGCAACTGCACATGTTTTAATAAACTGGTTATCAGACTGCTTATGACAGGTATGAGGGTGGTCTTGGAACAGGGTGGGCACTTCATGGTTAGCCAGTTGCCAGGCCTCCCTGGATGCCTCTGTGGCTCCTGTACCTTGGCCTGTGGGTGGGAGGTTGCCAGGACCATGGTCCCCTACAGAGGAGCCTGCGGCCTTGGGGCCCATCAGTCTCCATGGGACTGATTTGATCTGCTTGGTTTGTTGCAGGGAAGCCTGGGCAGAATTCTCCAGGGCAGCAGGGGTCAGGGCGGCAGGCTCCATGAAAGAGGTCAAGTTAGCATGGGGGACACAGGGGCATCAGATTGCTGCGACAGTGACCTAAGCTGGAGGGGGTTAACTCTGGGGACCTCTATCTGTGATATACACTTACTCCCTAGAGATGCCAAAGGTGAGCTGGCCCTTGAGATAGCCCTGGTCCCTTTTGTCCCACCTGGCCACTTCTGAAAGCCCACCACCCTCTTATTAGCTCAGGAAGGCTGCCTGGAGGTGGAGTCCTTTAAGAGAAAGGAGGAAGTAGGGCCTGGTAAGAACCTGTCCTAGGGACGCACATATGCCTTCCTGCCGTGACAGCCTGGGCAGGGGAGTGCAGGCCTGTTTCTCCCATGGGACAGGCCTGAGCTAGAGCTCAGGTCCCTTTGGAGACCACTTCTCACCCGAGACTTTGTAGAAACAGTGAGAGGGGTCTGCTCCTGTGCCAGCTTTCAGTGGTGGGACAGAATTTTCTCTTTCATGTTAGAGTGGGAGAGGAAGTCAAACAGGCATATACAAGTACCAATTTCTTCTAATTTCCTATTATACTGCAATAGTTCTAAAACTACTAACAGTTGGGTAACAAGAAAAAGAACAGTTATCTGGTTGATGTATTCTTTATTATGTAACAATTATTTCTGAGACAAAATCCAATTCAAACATATTACTGAGGATTCTATATTAGTATATTTTGGAAATGGTATAATCCAAACCTGATTTTCTAATATATTTTCTTATATAACACTTAAGGAATTTTTCACTCCCATTATTTGGCTCTGGAAAATCTTTACAGGAAACATTTGTTACACTAGAAATCAAAATTTAAGTAGAGTTGTTAGGCACAGTTAAAAGGGATGATATACACAAACTATAATAATTACAAATCAGTACTTCTTTTGAATACACATTTGAATGTAAAAGCTTTTAAAATAATCAGTGTCTTAGATAAATCTGCAAGAACTGATTTTAACATCTCCTTTACTTTCTAATGCTTTTCAGAAAAAATTCCTTTCTGATTCATTCAGCAGCAAGAGCCCAAAAATGGTGTTCCAAGCCAGGATTCACCTTGTCCTCTTCAGAAATGACCTGAAGAGCTTTTGGATTGGTTAAAAATATTGCCTGATGGAATCTTAGGGTAAACCCGAAGAGCTAAAAGCACTGAATCCAGAGATCAGGTCTCTCGGCCGTGCTGGGGACACCATCAACCACTTGGGGTTAAATTGTATTGCTATGAATGAGAGGTGACTCTGAGGGGCTTTAACCAGGCCGGGGCTAATGAAAGGGTTTCAAACATCAGTAAGAACAGGAAGATCAGGGTTGAGAAGAGTGACAAGAAATCTGGAATGGTCTGAACCATTTTACACTTGATTCTATTTCTTAGAGCTCTTTGGGAAACAGGCAAGGATTTTCCTGGATAGTGTTTGCCCATGAAACAAATGAGTCATCTCGCTAAATGATTCAAAAACATTTCCTGTTGGTTTCATACTACTAATAATTATAATATTTTAATGGATAGGAGAAATTATGGGTTTAAAATTAAATTCTCCGTTAATGCACATTTTAATAAACTGGTTATCAGACTGCTTATGACAATGTCAGTACCACATATTCAACTGCTTTTAGTCCTTCCAGTCTTTCTCTTGGGCATAACTGGTGGTTATCTAATTTTTGCTACCTATCAATCACCTGTTTTGGACATTAACTGTCAATTACTGGCTGCAAAATATGTGTGTGCATATTTACATGAGATGTAACTATACAGATGCATGTTGAATTGCAGACAAGAGTTCAATTATTTCAGAGCTATACTCTGAATGTGAGACCTTTGTATTTATACACACATACCTCTCCAGCCCAACCCAACATTCATTCATATAAAAATATATGACTATTGTAGAATCCTTCATTTACATATCACTAAAAATATGTTCTTTCATTCTAACATCTTTTTATCTACCTTTGTCAACCAACATCATAAGACTGGGATATAAAATCTTTTTATTAGTTACTTATTTATTTCAAATTATTATTATTATTTTTTGAGACAGGGTCTTGTTCTGTTGCTCAGGCTGGAGGGCAATGGTGCCATCTGGGCTCACTGCAACCTTGGCCTCCTGGGCTCAAGTGATCCTATCTTAACCTCCCTAAGTAGTTGGGACCGCGAGAATAAGTCACCACGCCTGGCCTATAAAATCTTTTTTAAAACACATTTCCTAGCAGAAATTAACTTTTTTTTTTTAAAAGTCTACTTTTAAAGCAGCAGTTAGAAACTTTGTTCTTATGATATGTAAATAATACTGTTATATCAAACTGTGGATTTAAATATTTTTAATTTAAGTTCCTTTCTTATCTCTTAAAAAAATAAAACAGATTTCTGTGTTACTTAATGGCTTCTCCATTCTTCCAATTCCAAGGAATACAAAGGTCTCCATCTTGCATAACAGAGTAAAAATGTGAAATGCAGAGGTGCATCCCATGTAGGTAAGGCAGTGATTGTTCTAGAAGTCTCTTACAACAATCCACCATTTGTGTACTAGAAATGCTGGGCTCTTTATATAACTTCTCCAAAGAAAATTTCTTTGTTGATGCCTGTATCAATTCATTTTCAATAACCTTTAACCTATTATATAGAAAATAAAAATATTGTCATAAGCTATAACCAAATAAAAGAACACATAATGTAAATATATTCTTACATATTGGGGCCATAACTCACAACACCGAAAATGCCACCCACAAAGGCCAAATTATACGTTTGGAAGACATGCCAATAGCCATCATGTGTTAAATCTTTTGAGTTTCTGTCACATGGATCTCTAAAAGTATTTGGTAACGTTTTTAGCAGTAAAGGGCTAAAAATAACATAAAATTTAAAAAGCTCTTATATTGCCTTACCTAGCAGCTGTTAGTGACTGAAGGAAGCAGAAAATGAAGACTATAAAACCCCTAGTTTTAGGACCCACCTAAAGTTTAACCCTTGGGCAGTAATGCTGTCTAAAGATTTCCCAGATAAAAGCAGACTCACGGAAAACCAGGACCCTGAGGAGGACAGGTTCTCTTCACTCTTCATCTCCTACCTCACCAGTCCTCTGTCTGTTCCCTCCCCTCTGCCTGGGGTTACAACTCTCTTATTCCATCAGGGGCTTCAGTTCAGGTCTACAAAGTATACAACTCTAGGCAGAACTCAGTGTCTCAAATACTTTCTCCCACAGGTGGCAAGTGCTTAGGGATATGGTGTTTTGATAAGTGGATTCAATGCGCTACATCTAGACCAACACATGAGTTACTCAGCAAGCCCATTTAACAACATGAATAAAGCAAAACTGCCATGGTCGTGTCCCTGAGCCAGTCTATTTAAAATACTTCATTGGTTTAAAATGTCTAAATATCTTACATTTAATTACCCTTAAACTCTGCATAGAAAAGTAGGTACTATAAAATTTCCATAAACTAGACAGTAAAAAACAGAAATGGTCATAGCAGTTAGTTATCCTGGCCTATAATACTGATCACTTTCTCAAGTGCTGTTTGCTTTTTCTGTAAGATTACTCTCCTACACAGTGCTGCTTAGAGATTCAAGCAGACAGACAGCAGTCAGGGCTTATGGTGCTGAAAATGTTTCACAGCTGGGCCTGCTTCTAATCTCTCCAGGATTAGACAGAAAGAACCCTTAAACTTCTATCAATAGGAGGGGATGAGTAACTTTTTCTGTAAAGGTATTTTTCACTTGTCAAGAAAAGATACTAACAACGATGCTTAGAAATGAGAAGCCTTGCAGTGTGACCATGTTACTGCATAGTTCTCCAACAATATATCTTTAAAATCTGGGCAAGACTCTCATTCTCATTCCTTTTAGAAGCTTACAGTCTCATCCTAGGGTTTCCCAGACCCATGGGTCACAAGCTTTATACAGGAGAACCCATCAGTTCTTCTGAGGTGCAATCTTAGAAAAGCATTGAGAAGGCAGCCCTTGTTAAGGTTCCCCAAGGCTGTCCCCTCAACAGGAAAATAACATGTACAAGCCTTTCCTCATCCTTGGGTGCCTCTACAGTCAGCAGGAAATTTTTTTTTTTTTTTTTTTTTTTCCTGAGATGGAGTCTTACTCTGTTGCCCAGGCTGGAGTGCAGTGGCGTGATCCTGGCTCACTGTAACCTCTGCTTCCCAGGTTCAAGCGATTATCCTGCCTCAGCCTCCCAAGTAGCTGGGATTACACGCATGCACCACCACGCCCGGCTATTTTTTGTATTTTTAGTAGAGGCAGGGTTTTGCCATGTTGGCCAGGCTGGTCTTGAACTCCTGACCTTAGGTGATCCACCCCGCTCAGCCTCCCAAAGTGCTGGAATTACAGGTGTGAGCCACCGTGCCTGGCCTTGAGATAGGGTTTCGCTGTTGCCCAGGCTGGAGTATCAGTGTCGTGACCATGGTTCACTGCAGCCTTGACCACCCAGGCTTAGGCAAACCCCCTGCCTCAGCTTCCCAAGTAGCTGAGACTACAGGTGCACACCACCATACCCAGCTAATTTTTAAATTTTTTGTAGAGATGAGGTCTCACCATGTAGCCCAGGCTGGTCTTGAACTCCTGGGCTCAAGTGATCCTCCTGCCTTAGCCTGCCAAAGTGCTGGGATTATAAGTGTGAGCCACCATGCCCAGCCTTTAGTCACTGTTTCTACTACATGCATCAGAACTACTTAAACATTCCTCTATTACTGTACATTTTGATTGTTTCCAACTTATCTAAGTGATTTTAAAATTTGAAATATATGATACAGAGTAAAAGGAAACATCTGAGTGGGTTACTACAAAAACATAAGTGGGGAATGCCCCTGCTAGGGAGAGCTGGCTGATCCTCAGGTGCAGTTTACTCTGGGTTGTTACCACCCTACAGAAGAACTGCGAACTAGGCTATCACCAGCCTCTAAAGGACTGGGGGCTCCACAGGCAGCAAACACTGTCTACATGCCAGCCAGGCAGTGCCAAGAGACAGGACCAACCAGTCATACAGTTTTGGGTTGTACATACCAGCTTAGAAGAGTGTGCGCTTCCCCCCCCCCCTTTTTTTTTTTTAACTGTTCAGCAAGCTGAGGGTCCTGCACAGCTGCTACTCTGAGGACCCTGTGAGCATGGGTGGCCTCTGGCTCCTTTTCTTTTGAACTAGAACAACTGAGAGCTTTAACTCTTTTTTATTAGGTTGGTGTAAAAGGAATTGCAGTTTTTGCCATTTTTTTTTTTAATGGCAAAAAACTGCAATTCCTTTTGCACGAACCTAATAAAATAAACTATGTTTCCACTTAAGAATCTACCTTGTAAGTTAAAAAGTATCTGAAAACCACTCTCTAGGAACATGCTTCATGGAAGGAAAGAAGTTAGTCTGCATCACTGCTCTGCGAATATAATGAAGGTGTCTTACTAGGGCAGGGACAGCAGAGCAAAGGAAGGAAAGACAGCAAAGGCGAGGAGAGGCTCCTGGGCCCAGAGTCAGGGGCACAAGGATGATGACTGAGCAGGAAGGAAGGCTGGGACTAGCAGCAAGTGCTTCCTCTCCTTGGGGGCTAAGTATAGGGATGAGGACTCTGGGGCCCAGAGCCAGAAAAAGGCTAAGGAAGCAGGTGAAAGGTCAACGGGTATTTCCTGAAGGCCCCCTGTGTGCCAGGCACCCATCCCAGTTGGTACCGGAGGAAGCAAAATAGACTGAAGTCTGCCCTCAGCGAGCTTACCTTCTTTTGGGAAGGAGAGAGAGAGAAAACACATTAATAAGGAAACAGCAAATTTGTTGAGGTGGATGGAGAAAGGCAGGCCGGCTGAGGTGGAGAGGAGAGTACAGCAGAGGGTGGGGGCTCCGTGCTGCAAGTTGTGTGGCCAGAGAAGGTGGAATGTGAGCAGGGCCTGAGGAAGCTGCAATTTCTGAGGAAGGAGGACCTCAGGCTGGGGGAAAGCACACAGGCCCAGGAGCGGACACATGTCAAGAGTGCTCGAGGAGGATAAAAAGGCTGGAGCAGAACGAGTGAGAGGAGAGTCCCAGGAGCTGAGCTGAGACAAGCAAGGGAGTGGGCAGAGGGTCTGTGGGCACTGGGCAGAGGAGTGACAGCTCTGACTAGGTTCCCACTGCTGCTCTGATGAGAGTCCACCGCGGGTTGGGGAGGTGCTGAGTGTGGAAGCCTGAAGACCAGACAAGAGGCCATCACAAAATGATGGAGGCTCAGACCAGGTGCAGCAGGAAAGGAAAAGAGAAGAGGTGAGTTTCTTTCCGGGTCTGCTCTGAAGGTGGACTGGGGTAGGGAGTGAGACAGGGGAGAGGAATCAAGATGACTCGCTGGTTTTTATTCGCCTGAGCAACTGGTAGGACGGAACATTCACAAATTGACCTATTTGAATGTTTTTCTTTTTACTTTGCTTTCTCACAATGTAATAGCATTACTCGAAAGCTATAAAATGGTCATAGAGAAAAAGAGAAAAAGCAGCTGATAGGTTATAGCAAACAAAATCATCAGTCCTAATGATTAACAGTTGGCTAGAATTGCTCTTGAGGGTTAAAGCAGACGTAAAATTGAGAAAAGAAATAGCACTAACAAATACTTAACAGCCAATCAAGAGGTAGGGTGTGATAGGATCTGGCCTACTGAGTTGTCATCAGTTCTATAAGGAAAACAAAAGAGATGCTGCTCCTTCATTTATTTTATACATAAAATGATCTCGTTGTCTCTTGCTAAAAGAATGGCTTCCATGGTTAGTTGCCATCCCTTCTATTTATTTATTTTTCTGAGACAGAGTCTCGCTCTGTCGCCCAGGCTGGAGTGCAATGGTGTGATCTTGGCTCACTGCAACCTCTGCCTCCCGGGTTCAAGTGATTCTCCTGCTTCAGCCTCCTGAGTAGCTGGGATTACAGGTGTGCACCACCATGCCTGGCTAATTTTCATATTTTTAGTAGAGATAGGGTTTCACCTCAAGTGATCTGCCCACCTCGGCCTCCCAAAGTTCTGAGATTACAGGTGTGAGCCACCAAACCTAGCCTCTCTCTATATTTAAAATTCCTGGCTTTTAAAATGAGCACTTTGTGGAAACTGAACCTCAAATGAACAGTGAGGCAGGAGAACTGCTTCCACTGGCACCCTGCTAAACAACCAGGTCCCATTACCCTGTCCTCCTCTCTTCTCCTTGAAACTTCCCTCCATGGACATGTGGAATGGCATTCTCTCCAGCTTCCATCCTGTTCCCTGCCGTTGCCTTCCCTTGTCTGCTATGCTCCCAGGTGTCAGCTTTGGCTTTTCCCACTGGATTGTGCTGCAGCTACCACTGGCAAATTTATAGCACTCACATCTCCTACTAGAAACAATTCCAGGAGGCAGAGATCATGTCTAAGTCTTTCTATCAATGGCATTGATCTCAGCTTTGGGCACATAACAGTCATAGTAAATGATGGCTAAGTAAATGACCTCATTTCTTCATAGGTGATACATAAAACAATATCAAGCAATATCTTACCACCTACAAAACAGGAAACTGTTGGCTATAATAGGACTCCTTCAAAGATACAAACAACATAAAAACAACACTGCTTAGGAACTAAAATGATACATTGTTTTTTTTTTGAGAAAGGATTTCATTATGTCACCCAGGCTGGAGTGCAGGGGTGCGATCACAGCTCACTGCAGCCTTGGCCACCGAGGCTCAATCAATCCTCCCACCTCAGCCTCCTGAGTAGCTGGGACACAAGCAAGTGCCACCATGCCTGGCTAATTTTTTTTTTTCCCCACCATATTGCCCAGGGTTTCACCATGTTGCCTAGCCTGGTCTTGAACTCCTGGGCTCAAGTGATCTCCTTGCCTTGGCCTCCTAAAGTGCTGGGATTACAGGCTTGAGCCACTGTGCCCGGCCTAAAATGATTTTTTAAGGTTTCTTCTCAACTTAATTAAAATGCAGATAAAGTTTTCTTTATATCAACAGTTAAAAGGTTTATTATTTTTCTTTCTCTCTCTCTGTCATCTAGGCTGGAGTGCAGTGGCGTGATCTCGGCTCACTGCAAACTCCGCCTCCTGGGTTCAAGCCATTCTCCTGTCTTGGCCTCCTGAGTAGCTGGGACTAGAGGTGACCACCACAACACCTGGATAGTTTTTGTATTTTTAGTAGAGACGGGGTTTCACCATGTTGGCCAGGCTGGTCTCAAACTCCTGACCTCACAAGTGATCTGCCTGCCTCAGCCTCCCAAAGTGCTGGGATTACAGGCGTGAGCCACTGTGCCCGGCTTAAGATGGTTTTTTTAAGGTTTCTTCTCAACTTAATTAAGATACAGATGAAGTTCTTTTTATATTAACAGTTTGAAATCTTTTAAGCAATATTCTTGTTAATCAAGAAATAATCAATATTTTTGCTTGTTGTCAGTCTTTTCCATCTGGAAAATTCCTTGCTGATATTCTTATTTTTCATTCTGCTCCTGAATTGACTTTTATATTAAGAAGCTGAACTTCTCAAACTGAGGTCCATGGTGGTAACATAATTTAGGTAGGGAATAAAAAAATATGGAGTATCTACAAATTAGTCAATTTCCTAAGCTTCATACTGTTTCCAGGTCCCATATTTATGAGTTCCAAATATCTGAAGTTTTCAGTTAGACTGAATGATCTGACTTTACAGAGGACTGGCAGTACTTACTCTTCCTTTCTTTTCATGTTCTCTCTTGCCTGCTGAGCTTTGGTGAGAATAAACCACTGGAGATTTGCTGGATCACAGAGTGTTGGAATATTAAAATGCCCGAGTTCATGCAAGCTTGGAGCATATCTGTCACTGCAATAAAATATACATTAAAGGAAAAACCACTGACCCTCTCCTCTCCCCGACCAGAGAAAATGTTTGATTAGTCCTCAGGAAAATAATAAAAAAAAAATCATCAAGAAAAGCCACCTCAAAAGTGCAGCAACTTAAAGCTTTGCTGCCCCCAAAGACACACTTCTTCAGGATCACGACCTACTTGCAAGCCCTCTGACCTTCCTTATCTGTTACATGCAAGGGGTGACCTGCTGCACAGTGAGGTTGTCAGAGCTAAAGACAGAATGCATATAAGTACCCAACACAGTGCTCGGCAAACAGTGTATACACCACAAATGTTGGCTACTGATTTACTATTAGTTTAATCTTATAATGTTTTCCATTGGATTGACTTTGCCCAGTAAATCTGCTCAGCAATATATTCAAAGAATGTTCTAGATATTAAATTCTTCAATCCTCCCATGCTGGCTTTTCTAGAGTGTAGAAGAGAGTTGCTAACACAAGTAGTGGCATTTTCTTCTTTAATTCTTAAGAACTACCCATTGAAATACAAAACAATTTAATGCATTTACACACACAACCCACCTAGACGAAGGAATAAAAGTAATCCTTCTATCTTAGATATTTACCTGTTAAGGATCATTTGTAAACCACGCAAACTTCGAGGGTGAAATGGTATCCTACTTTTCAACAGTCTATTATAAAACACATCAAGAAGAGAGTAATATTCTTCAAGTGTCAATACTGGCTGTAATTCTTCAATATAAACAACTTGTATGCCACCTAAAAGATAGCTTATTTGGTCTTCTAAAATCATCAGCCTCCTCTGAAGGTCAAAATAACTCGGCAATCTTTCAAAAAGCTACAGTGTTAACAAAGGGAAAGAAACAATTAGCTTTATGTTACTATAATTTAATTTTAGAATTCCAATAAATGGCATTAAGACATTTTTAACAAGAAAATGATTTTCATTGAAGGAAAGTTCAAGTAAGAGATAAAAAAAAAAACCTTAATTGAATTCTGGAAATATTAATATTCAAAACAAGCCACTGTAAATCTTTGGGATTTTTAGATGGGAATTTGTAAAGTTCCAAAAAAAAAATATGCTCCAAATAAAAGTAAGTCCTAATCCTAAGCACTATTATTTAAATATTTAGGTAAGAATCTTTAATTAGTTTAGAATTATTAAATGGTACAATAAAGGTTTTAGAAATAAAGTGTATGTATTTCAACTCAGTCTATTCCTTCAAAATTTACTTTAAAGTAACTAAACTCAATTAAGTGCAATAAATATGATTGTGCACCTACCATATACGTAAGCACTGAGTTGGGCACTTGAAGGGTACAGATTGTAAGAGTTTGTCTCTGTTTGGTTGGCACTCACAGTTGGGGTACAAGGAAACAAAAATCCGAATTTAGCATACTAAATGCCAAATCAGGGTGAGTGGATACAGAGGAGGTTCAGGCAAAGGTTTCTAAGGGAGTCTAATTCGATCAATCTTAAACATGAAGTAAGATTTAGAAATGGCACGTGAATGTAAGGGCTGTTTTGGGGGAAGGAAAAAGAGCATGTGCAAATATGGAACCATGAAAAGGAGCAACATGTTTGGAAACAATAAGGAGTTTGGTATGGCTGGCATGTGACCTGCTGCGAGGGAAAGGAAAGAGCAAGGCTCAAGGGGGATGTAGGGGCTGGGTCAGGGAAGGACCACTAAGGACTTAAGATTTTCTATTAAAAGCCAGGGTCTTTTAGAAGAGTTGGAAGGCATTAAAAACTCTGCTATAATAAAAGCAATAGCTGCATAAAAATTCTACAAATTATTTATAATCTACTTTTAACGTCTTGTGGAAAATAATTTTACTCCCTATTTTTCAATTTTTCTATGGGTTACTCATGTATATATGGTAACTACATTTTAAAAACTTTTTGTTTTGACATAATTCTAGATTCATATACCTTTAACTTAACAGTACATCTTATACAATTATTGGTATAATATTACAACCAGGAAATTGACATTGATACAATTCATTAATCTTACTCAGAGGTCATTAGTTTTACTTGCATGCATTTGTGTATTTTTCATATGTGTATTTACTTTATTATATGTGTATGGAGCCATGTGACACTGCTACAGTCAAAACACACAGAAATTCCATCATAGGGATCCCGTTTATAGCACTGACACCTCTGCTCCCCTCTCTCTACTTCCTGGCAACCACGAATCTTTTCTTCCTTTCTATCATTTTATTATTCCAAGGATGTTATATAAATAGAATCAAACAGTTTGTAACCTTTTGAGACTGACTTTTTCACTCAGCACAATGCCCTTAAGATCCATCCAATTGCTGCATGTATCAATAGCTCACTCCTTTTCATTGCTGAGTAAAATCCTATGGTAGGGATGTACAAGTTTGTTTAGCTATTCACACACTGAAGAACATTCATTTTTTTCCTAGTTTTTGGCTATTATAAACATTCATGTACAGGTGTTTGTGTGAACATAATTTTTCATTTCTCTGCTGTAAATACCTGAGGGTGACTGCTGGGTCATGTTTAGTTTTGTAAGAAACCATTATAGTCTTTTTCCAGAATGCCTGTACCATTTTACATTCCCATCAGCAATGCATGAATGACCTATTTTTTCTGCATTCTCACCAGCATGTAACTATTTTTCATTTTAGCCATCCTGGTAAGTGTGTAGTGATAATGCACTGTGGTTCTATCTATCTATCTATCTATCTATCTATCTATCTATCTATCTATCTATCTATCTATCTCCCTCCCTCCCTCCCTCCCTCCCTCCCTCCCTCCCTATCTAATCTATCTTTCTATCTTTCTATTTATTTTGAGACAGAGTCTCGCTGTGTTGCCCAGGCTGGAGTGCAGTGGCACAATCTCGGCTCACTGCAACTTCCACCTCCCGGGTTCAAGTGATTCTCCTGCCTCAGCCTCCCAAGTAGCTGGGACTATAGGCGCCTGCCACCATGCCCAGCTAATTTTTTTTTTTTTTTAATTTTTAGTAGAGACGGGGTTTCACTGTGTTTACCAGGTTGGTCTTGAACTCCTGACCTCGTGATCCACCTGTCTTGGCCTCCCAAAGCACTGGGATTACAGGCGTGAGCCACAGTGCCCGGCCAATGAATATGTTTTTATGTGCTTACATGTCATCTGTACATTCTCTTTGGTGACATGTCATTTCATGTCACCGTTTTTGGTTGCATTGGTTTTTTTAGTAGCCCTTTTTAGTGGGTTTTTTTTTTTTTTTTTTTTTTTTTTTTTTACTGCTGAAGTTTGAGAGTTTTAGATTGCCCTTTTTTTAGTTGGTTTTTTCTTTTCCTGCTGAAATTTGAGAGTTTTGAAATATATTCTAGATATAATGTCTTTGTCAGATATGTGGTTTGCAAGTATTTTCTACCAAATAAATATTTGATTTGAACAGACGCTTCACTAAAGAAGATATGTGGATGACAAATAAGCACATGAAAAGATGCTCACCATTATTTATTATTAGAGAAATGCAAATTAAACATTGAATGAGATTGTACCACAGAGCTATTAGACTGACTAAAATTAAAAAGATGACCATAGTTAAGTGTTGGCAGTTTTTTAAAAAGTTAAAATACTCTACCATATGATCCAGCCATTCTATTTTAGGTATTTACCCAAGAGAAAGGAAATATATGTCCATATATTTGTACACAAATGTTCATAGCAGTTTTATTTGTAATAGTCACAAAGTGATACGACCCTATGTCCATCAACAGGTGAATGAATAAACAAACTGTGGTATATTTATACAATGAAATAGTACATAGTAATAAAAAGGAATAAACTTTCAATACATGCAACAGCATGGATGAATCTCAAAATGAGACAGTGAAAGAAACCAGACACAAAAGTTTGCAAGCCCTATGATTCCACTTACATAAAACTCCAAAACTAAGCTATAGTGACAGAAAGCAGACCAGTGGTTGCTTGGAGAGGGGGTGGTGGGATAGGAGGGAGTGTTTACAAAGGGCCATATGCTCACATATATGCCCAGGTGTTGGATACATTTGCTATCTTGACTGTGATAATGGCTTCATGGGCATACATACATGTCAAAATACCAAACAACACACAAGAAACATGTGCAGTTTATTAAATGTCAGTTATACCTCAATAAATCTGTTAAGAACAGGTAAAACCAAACAACAGAATATAGGCTTTCAGGCTGTGCTTCAGAAAAGAATGCAGTATTACCAGACAAAAACTGCCTTAAAAATCAGTCTTCCTTCTTAAGTATGTTAAGTATATGATATTTCAGCATGTGATCTGAAAACAGCTGACACTATGATTAAAAACATTAAAAAACAAAAACAAAAACAGAACAAAATTTTTTTTTGGTTCATTAACATTATAGCATTGTTGGAAATGAGAGTATATGAATGACAAGAAGTTTTTAATTTTAAGGCTCTTTCTTACTTTTGTCCAGTGATGATGGACATCCATTGTTCCTAGCATCACATGGCCCACTGCACTCATGCCAGAACGGTCTGTAAATATGATTGTACACCCTGATGATAAAACACAAAACCTTTGGTCATGGTCGAGGTGCTTCATTCTTTCTGCATTGTGCCAATAGTGTATAAACTCAGGATTAAATTCAGTAGAAGCTTAAAGGCTAATTTTATGCCACTGCTTTATTCAAAGAAGAGATTTAAAAGTTCAGCTATGATGAAGTTACTTGGTTTTTCCATTAAAATTTATAGATGTACATAGCAGCTAGGTGATTTTTTAAAAGAAAATGGAAAATGTTTACCTTTTGCTTTTTTAAGTGTTTCCAAATTCTGCTGTGCTAAGCGGCTTAAACTATGCAGCTGGCTACAGCGGTGGGCGACGCCCCAGCTCCTCTGCCACCTAGGCCAACAGAGCACACAAGCATGTTAATAAGTGGCACCCCGAAGAAGGAGCAAGCACTCACCACAACTACTGGAGTCCTTGGGAAGCCAATGAGTCTCTTTCTGAAGCAGGCACATCACATGTTTTGATTGATCATATGTTTCTAAGCTAGCTAATTTTTAAAGAAGCAACCACATGGAAAATGAATTGTTTACCAGAGGGCAGAAATATTACTACTATGCTCAGGTATCCAAAGATTTAAAATAAGCAAATACATGATGTTTCTATTTAAAAATAAGATGATGAAATGGGAAAACTGTGAAAAAAGTATTTTTCTTTTTCACATTATTATAATGATGATGGTTTTGTTTTAGATTCAAGTTCCAACTAGGAATTCCAGTTAGGCTTATCAGGTTCTCTTTTCTGTTTTTGAGATAGGGGCTCACTCGGTTGCCCAGGCGGGAGTGCAGTAGTGCAGTCATGGCTCACTGCAGCCTTGACCTCCTCTGCTCAAGAGATCCTCCTACCTCAGCCTCATGAGTAGCTGGGACTAAAGGCATGTGCCACCACGGCTGGCTACTTCAAAAATTTTTTTTGTAGAGACAGGGTTTCACCATGTTGCTCAGGGTGGTCTTGAACACCTGGGCTCAAGTGATCCACCAGCCTCGGCCTCCCAGAGTGTTGGGATTACAGGCGTGAGCCACCGTACCTGACCTCAGGTTCTTTTTATCTCATTCTAGAGAAAGTGATTTTGATGAAATCATGTATATCTGCTCATTTCATAAATTTCATCAATTAATATTAAACCCCAGTGACACATGGAACCTGACATTGACACGATGTCAGAGGCCCTGCTGTGTAACTGTGAAGAGCACTGGTCTTCAGAAAACCCACCTTGGAGTTCTAATTCTGTGGTTTACTAGCTCTGTGACCTTGAACAAGCTGCTTTTAGCCTTCCTAAGGTTTTCACTTGCATGCATGCAAAGTGAGGATGTTTCCTGCTATACAGGTAGTAGACATCAAATGAGGTAATGTGTGTGAAGGAGTCCAGGCATTCAAAACAGGCTCTTAAGAAACACAGGTTCTTCTTTTATCCTAATACTGATTCTGATGAATGTCATTTCCGATAAAATGAAAACTTGTTTAAAAAATTGTTTTTTTCTTTAAACTACAATTTAAAAAGTAAAATATAATTTCAAAGAATATTAATTTTTGATTATTTGACATTAAAAAATTTAAGTGACAAAGGTAGTAAATGCTGTTTTCGTTAAAAATGGTGTTCTATATAGGCTGTTTAGAATGAAAAACAATGTCATTAGTTAATGTTTCTGTTTGCTGGAGTTTTGGCTAACTTTTTTTAGCAAGTAAAGAAGCCCTCATGCCCATAGTCCTCAAATGTTATGGTCTCAGGGACCCTTTTATACTCTTAAAAATTAAAAACTCCAAAGAGCTTTAGCTTATGTGGGGGATATATATATATATATATATATTTTTTTTTTTTTTTGAGACAGAGTCTTGCTGTGTCGCCCAGGCTGCAGTGCAGTGGTGTGCTCTTGGTTCACCGCAACCTCCATCTTCCGGGTTCAAGCAATTCTCCTGCCTCAGCCGCCTGAGTAGCTGGGATTACAGGCGTGCACCACCAGGCCTGGCTAATTTTTGTATTTTTAGTAGAGACGGGGTTTCACCATGTTGGTCAGGCTGGTCTCGAACTCCTGACCTCGTCATCTGCCTGCCTTGGCCTCCCAAAGTGCTGGGATTACAGGCGTGAGCCACCGTACCCGGCCAGGTTATATCTATTGACATTTACCATAATATAAATTAAAGCTGAGAAATTTCTCCATAATACTGTAAAATAATATTTATTTCTTTTTTTTTGTTTAAGAAATCCTTTCATTTTCCTCAGTCTGCTTTGACAGATCTTTTAAAATTTCTATTAGAAAAAGTTATTTGCATGCACATTAATTTATTTACCTTATAAACTTTTAAAAATGATCTTACTATTTTTAGTTAGAAAAGTTTATGCTACTAGACTATGGAATGGGAAGAACCCCCTATAATAAAGTTTAATCTGAAAATGATTAGTGTGATGATAAGATAACAGATATATGTATACATTCAAACATTTCACACATGGAAGTCTAAAATAATGCTTTTGAAATTCTGAATTATCTTATGATGATTTGATTATACAAGAACAGAACATGTAAATACTATCTGTACTCTGTAAACACAGGAAAAAAGGTGTTTTTATGGTACCCAAATAGTCATTTGTTTTAATATAAGAAAAAAAAGTCCTAATAATGAGAATTGAAAACAACAAAACAGGCTAGAGCAAAAAGTAACAAAGATGTTTAAACATGAAGACTAGATGACGATTTTTCTGAGTTCTAGTGATGGGAAGTCCAATGACTGAATGACCTGACTCCTCCTTTTCCCTTCCTTAGAGTTTTAAGAACTGTTAAATCTATTCCGCAATAAATTTCAGCATGGATCTTTATATAACTGCAATTTTCAAGTTTATGAAAACTTACTTAAAAAGTTCCGCGATATAATATAGAACCAAGAATACAACATCCATTTTCTCCCTCCCCTCCTCTTTTTAAACTCAAATACTAATCTTTTAAAACACTTATTATTATTTAGAGATGGGGTCTCACTATGTTGCCCAGGTTGGTCTCAAACTCCTGGCCTCAAGTGATTCTCCTGCCTTGACCTCCCAAAGTGCTGGAAGTATGAGTCACTGTGCCTGGCCTTAAATATCTTATAAGATGGGGGCATAATTATTTTTTATATATTTTGTGTATATGGAATAGGGTATTTTTCCTACAAACTTATTATGTAAAAAAGTTTATTATGCCAAAAATGTCAGTACTTAAGCCTTACTTCTTTATCTATATATAGAAGAAAGAAGTAACATATATATAAATTGAGACGAAGTCTTGCTCTATCACCTAGGCTGCAGTGCAGTGATGCAATTATAGCTCACTGCAGCCTCAAGCTCCTGGGCTTAAGTGATCCTCTTGCCTCATCCTTCCAAGTAGCTGAGACTACAGGTGCAGGCCACCGTGCCTAGCTAAATTTTTTTTTAAGTTTTGTAGAGATAGGGTCTACTAGCCTGTTGCCCAGGCTAGTCTTGAACTCCTGGGCTCAAGTGATGCTCCCACCTTGGCCTCCCAAAGTGCTCGGATTACAGGCAAGAGCCACTGTGCACAGCCTTACTTCAATATTTAAAATAAGAAATTACTAAGAGTTTTCTTACACAGATGAACATTTCATGATGTTCATAAAGATAATTGAAGAGTACTCAGTTATCAGAGCAACAGTTAAAGATGCAAATATTTAGCTGCTGAAAAGCTTATCAGTTGGTAATTCATATTCATTTTAATTTCTAAATTAGGTTCTCTCTTCTTTATTACCTGATATCTGACAGTTGCAATTGATGAGACAGTTCATCTTTTAAACGATCTAGTTCTTTTCTAAGTGGCAAACTGTTCTTTAGCTTTTTAACAGCACTTTTCCCATTGTTATCTAACCAGGATCTAGAAGGAAAAGAGAGAGAGGGAGATATATATATGTATATATATATATATATATACACACAGACTCTTTATAATACTAACCATAATATAAGTATTTCTACTATTAAAAGACACATGTATGCACTTGCATATTCACAATAGCAAAGACTTGGAATCAACCTAATCAATAGATTGGATAAAGAAAATGTGGTATATATATACGATGGAATACTATGCAGCCATAAAAAAGAATGAGTTCTTGTATTTCATGGGAACATGGATGAAGCCGGAGGCTATCATCCTTAGAAAACTAACACAGGAACAGAAAACCAAATACTGCATGTTCTCACTTATAAACAGGAGCTAAATGATGAGACCACATGGACACAAAGACGGGAACAACAGACACTGGGGCCCACTTGAAGGTAGAGGATAGAAGAGAGGATCAGTAAAAACAACTATAGGGTACTAGGCTTAGTACCTAGGTAACAAAATGAACTGTACAACAAACCCCTGTGATGAGAGTTTATTTATATAACAAACCTACACATTAAAAAAAAGAACCTAAAAGTTAAAAAAAATTGTACTAAAAAAAAAAAGGACACATACATTATCTTAAAGCAGCCCCAGTGTTAAACCGAGTTTTCAATCAAACCTTTACTTCTACCTATTCTTTTTCAGAAATACCTACTTTTAAAATAAGTTGCTTGGAGAACTGCCAACACCTGTCAAATCATATTCTATGCAACTTCCTTTGCATATTAAAAAATTAAATTTTAATTATATCAAACCTGTCACTAGATTTCTAGATATAATTTTTTTAATTAAAAATACTTCAAAGTGTGTTTATTACAACCTTCAGTAAGCTATACTAGATCTTCACTGATGTCAGTCATACACATACGGGAGGGTAGAACTAATTATGGAATAAGTGACCAAATATTATAATAGAGCTAAAAAGGTGTAAAAGTCAAACTCAACAGACATATCTGATGAGACTAGTGACAATTAAGAGGCAATGGGTCCTGATGAAGGAATATGAAAAGATTACTTTGTGGATTCTAGCTGGGTGGACTCCAGTTTCTGCCTTTTTAGTCTTGGATACTACTACCCTGAGCTCCCAATGCTTATTCCCTCATCCCTGTAACCTAGTCCCTCTGACTGGTCAGACCTTACCAATCTAGTCATTTTGCCACACCCTCCTTCCAGGAGGGCCTCTTCACTACCCTGGTGCTCAGTGACACCTCCATTCCTTTCCACCCAACCAAAGGTCCAGTTTCAGTCTCGTCTCAACTATATCAACTCTATAATAAGCTCAGCAGAAAGATGTTCTCTAAACCTGTATTTCTTAGAATGTTTACCTCAATAGTCTTACAAGAACTAAATATCAAAAATGCTTTGGCTGGGTGTGGTGGCTCAAGTCTGTGATCCCAGAACTTTGGGAGGCTGAGGTGGGCGGATCATGAGGTCAGGAGTTCGAGACCAGCCTGGCCAACGTGCTGAAACGCCGTATCTACTAAAAAATACAAAAAATTAGCCGGGCGTGTTGGCATGCACCTGTAATCCCAGCTACTTAGGAGGCTGAGGCAGAAGAATCGCTTGAACCGGGAGGCGGAGGTTGCAGTGAGCTGAGATCACGCCACTGCACTCCAGAGCTTGGGTGACAGAGTGAGACTCCGTCCAAAAATTAAAAAAAAAAAAAAAAAAAAAATCTTTAAGGATTAGAAGATAGCTTTCAGCAAACAGCTGAAAGCCTGTGTGGCCTTCTAGAGAGCAGCACCACCTCTGTAGAAACCGTCTCTCACTTGGTGCTATAATCATGACACAAGGGTGCTTGTTAGTGCTCAGGGTCACTGGCTACCCAAGGGAAGTCCAGAGAAATGAGTGACCTGGATGGAGTCCTGGGAGGCTGACGAGCTGCTGCAGGAGTGGGTGGTGAGGGGGCAGGGACAGAATGGTAGTGACTCTGGGCTGAGGGGAACATTTCAGATTCCAAAACAAAGTGGTGGGGAGTGGGCCCTAGGCATTACTATGCAAGAGAAAACTCCAGGAAAACCAGAGGTTCCCTTTCTTCTTCTTATTTTTTTGTACAGACTAGGTCTCACTTTGGTGCCCAGGCTGGCCCCAAACTTCTGTGCTCAAGGGATTCTCCTGCCTCGGCCCGCCAAAATGCTAGGATTATAGGCATGAGCCACCATTTTTTCTTAAAAAAATTTTTTTTAATTGGCTATGCTAATCTTCTCTGTATTGTTCCAATTTTTTTGAGATGGGGTCTAACTATGTTGCCCAGGCTGGAATAGATTGGTGTGATCATGGCTCACCGCAGTCTCGACCTCCTGGGCTCAAGTGATCCTCTAGCCTTAGCCTCTCTAGTAGCTGGGACTATAAGCATGTGCTACCATGCCCACCTAATTTTTTAAAATTATTATTTGTAGAGATGAGGTCTTGCTATGTTGCCCAAACTGGTCTTGAACTCCTGGACTCAAGTGATCTTCCCGCATTGGCATCCCAAAGTGCTGGCATTAAAGGCATGAGCCACTATACCTGGCCTCATTCCATTTTTAGTATATGTACTGCTGAAGGGAGCACTAGGTTCCTTAATAGTCACTTTATATGTTTTAGATGTTGTGATCTAAAGCATTTAAAAAATTATCAAGTTTAGAATATTGAAAATGACAAATCATTATGCATCTATTAAACATTTATCCTGAATGCCTGACATTGTGCTGTGTTGGAATTACAAGGAAGATAAAGTCCTTGTTTTAAAGGAAGACACATTTAATAAGGAATATAGAGATAAGCAATTGGAATAGAAGAAATTATTCCTGGAAGATTCTGTAGAACAGGTAGTATGTGATCTGGAACCCAAAAGATGTATCAGATCTTTCCAGGTAGGTGAGAGAGAATGGCATGTCAATCATAATAGTGCACAAAGATCTATGAGATGAGCCAGTATGCCCAGATGACAGGATGCTTAGAGGGAGAGAAGGGCATAAGAGACTGGAGAGGGACTACGGGTAAAGTGGGGTCAGACCATGAAGGGTCTTACACACTGAGAAAGGGAATTGTAAGTTTATCCTCTAGGTGAAAGCGTTCAATGTTTTTTTTTTTTTTTTAAATTCACTGACTTTGCATAGCAATTAATAATCCTTCCTATACCCTCTTTAAGAATACTGGTAAACATTTTGTCACTTCTGCATGGCATGTGATTAAGCAGGTAAATATATCTTAATTTATATCACTACTATTGGATATGGCATTACAATTTTCCAACTTTTCCACACTTATTAAGTAATAAATATTGTTCAACTTACTTTAAATCATGTAAGAGAAAGCACGATTTATTGACATATGAATTATCAAATGACACACTATGTTTGGTTTGGGGCCCAAATGTTTTGCAACATAGATTAAAATATGATCTTATAGATTCATGAATTGATTTTTGGAATTCTTACATTTAATGTATAAAAATCAACTGGTCTAGCTTAACAATATTTGTGTTTTGTTTCTAAAAACTGAAGTAAAAACAAAGACTCTCAACATGGTTTTTGTTTTTATTATTATTTTTTGAGACGGAGTCTCACTGTGTCACCCAGGCTGGAGTGCAGTGGCATGATCTCAGCTCACTGCAACCTCCGCCTCCCAGGTTGGAGTGATTCTTCTGCCTCAGCCTCCTGAGTAGCTGGGACTACAGGTGGGCACCACCATGCCCGGCTAATTTTTGTATTATTAGTAGAGACGGGGCTTCACCATATTGGCCAGACTGGTCTTGAACTCCTGACCTCGTAATCCACTCACCTTGGCCTCCCAAAGTGTTGGGATTACAGGCGTGAGCCATCGCGCCTGGCCATGGTTTTTAATATATACAGATATAAAGATACATGTTTCCTGGCTCTGGCCACTGAGAGGATTAGTAGTAACTGAGCGCATGTAGCACTGAGATGTTGGTGTCTATAAACCAATCCCTACTAGAAAGAGCCAGAGCTTCCTGGCAAAACTCCTGAATCAAACTTTGGAGCAGGAACAGTACAGATGAACCTGGAACAACTTGGTGAACCAGAAAGTAAGGGAATAATAGGAAAGATGGGAACATAGGCACTTCATATAGTCCCCATATGAAGAGATGATGAAATGAAGAAATCAATATGTGGCAACCAGCAGAGTAATATGTGATTCAAGCAAGAATCATCAATGAATATTAGAGCAAGTGAGGTAGTAAAAATCTAAGGAGTAAAAGGATATTTATATAGCCCTAAATATCTCCTTAACAGAAGCTAATTAAAGGAAAAAAAATCATAACTTCCTGGAAGAAATTAGTATCATTAGTAATGGGTTACATAAACATCCCATACCTCCTACATAATCCACTGAAAACACCACAACATCATTTCTGGGGTAGGCCTGTGAAAAACTCTGACTGTAATTATGAGGAAACATCAGATAAACAAATGGTAAGACATTCTACAAAATAATTGGCTTGTATTCATCAAGGTAATGAAAGACAAGAACACACTGAGGAACTGTTCCAGATTAAAAAAGACTAAAGAGATTTGACAACCAAATGTGGCTCATGATTTGGGATTTTCTTTTCCTAATAAAGGGCAGCGCTCAGAAAATGAGTGACATTTGAATAACATCTCGGGGTTAGCTAACAGTATTGTCATAAGTGTTAACTTTTTAATTTTTATTATTTTCCAAGATAATGTTTTTATATTTAAAAAATGTACAACCTAGGTATTCAAGGGTAAAGGGACATTGTGGCTGCAACTTACTCAAATGGGTCAGAGAAAAAATGTATATAAATATACATATATAATTTCAATATTTAAATATATATATAATGATAAAGCAAATGTACATTTGAGGAATTTGGGTGGAAGTTACATGGGACTTCTTTATATTATTTCTGCAAATTTTCTTTCTTTTTTTAATTTTAGTCTCTACCTTTTTTATTTTAGAGACAGGGACTTGCTCTGTTGCCCAGGCTGGAGTACAACAGCACAATCATAGTGTCATGG